TTCCATACAGTTCTTGTTTCAGCCAAGACCTATGCAACTGTTCAAAAAGCAAGGTCTTGTTTCTTTGTTCCATTTCTGTCTGAGACCTCATCAGAATGGTCTTCACTCTTCATATTTCTACAATTGTGACCGTGACCATGTAGGTACTCTCTGAGAAGTCTCAGATTCTCCTGATTAGTTATTTCCTTCTTCAGAGCCCTCATCAGCTCAGAAGTCAGCAGTGCAAGACATTTCCAGCACTCACTTCAACCCTCTTCCAGTTTCTGTGCAGTTTACCTCCTTCTGAAGCTGCTGCCACAATTTCAGTTCCTAGTTGTAGAAATAGCCCCGATACCCATTTTCTATCTTAGTCCATTTTCTCTGGTTATAGCAGAACAACTGAGATTGGGTAACTTATAAAGTGCAGACAATTATGTGGCTAGTGGTTCTGGAGTCTGGGGGTCCAAAAGCATGGCCTGGCATCTGACGAAGGTCCTCAGGCTGCATTATCCCATGGTGAAATTGACCAGAGAAGGCGACCACAAGCAAGAGGGCTGAACACACTGTTTTTCCACCTCCCAATGCTGTTTTCTACCAGGGATTGAGTGTCTCACATGAAACTTTACACAACACATTTAAACCAGACCAGTATAATTGATTCCAAAGGCCATTTTCAAAGATAGAACTACTACTTAGTGCACATAGAATCACATACAGCCTGTGTGGTAGGGTTTGTGAACTGAATGCCTTTAGGGGTCAAGTCACTGACACACATGTAGAAACCTATCTGATGTGACCAAAGAGGGACTAGAGGAAGGAGACAGCCTGTCTTTCCTAAATGAATTCAAATTACAACAATGTGCTGTGCAAAGAAAACACGTTGACCTGAGGTCTGCGATCAAGTTCAATTCATGTGCATTGCTGTGGCCCATTTCTAGCTGGTTCTGTGATGACTTTGGGAGCCAGCTGCAAACTTGGCTCCCAATAACCACTCTTTCCATCCCCTTCATGTTTTTAATAAGTCTGGGATTCTATACCTTCTCCCACGCTCCACTCAGGTCTAGGCTCAATGGAAGAATTAATTACTCAACTTACTGCACATATCTTACATTACTGATTTATTTATTTTAGAGATAGGGTCTCACTAGGCAGTTCAGGCTGTCCTTAAACTCACTATGAAGCCCAGGCTGGCCTCAAGCTCATGCCTCAGCTTCCCAAATGCTGGGATTATGGGCATGCGCCATCACACCTGGCTTACTGAACACACTTTAAGTGAAGGAAAAATATCTTGCAATAAACAGCATCTTCACTTTCAGACCACTGTTATTTTTAAAGCTGAAGAAACAAAATGACATTTGGTGGCCAATGATGATTCTATCCAGGGAATTTCAGTAATGATTCTGCTTCTTCAGGTGGCTCTCAGTTTATCTTAGCGTATTATACTTTGATTGCCTGCAGTTTTAGAGTCTCTATTTCTGGTAGAAGCCATTCATCTGATAAAAATCATAAACTCCTCATGCACCAGAACCATGGTGGTCAAAGAAAATAGTTTTAAAACGAACTGAAGTACAAATAAATTAATATATAAGAATGTAAGATTATTTCAGATTATTTCATGACTGAGAAATCACAGTGAATTTCCAGTGTAAACTTGTGACATTTAATCAGCCTTTTAGCATTAAGATTAGACTCCAGACAAATTGTTATAATCATGTAAAAGCCACAACTCAAAGTTACTAAATTAATCCAAAATAAAGCCACTAGCCCCTCTTCCTAATTAAGAGTCAAAGGAGAGAGGTATAAGGCTTAGTCAGTTACAATCAGACTCTGAGGGAAGTTTTCTGCTTTAAGTAAAAATGAATCCTTTCCAAACAGGCCAACATGGAAGCCTCCTTATTCTCTCCGCATATTTCAACCTTGAGCCTACGTATTTACCAGAATCTCTAATTAATCACCATACATGAGGGTTTTGAGAATGTCTACAGCACAGTAAGAGCTGTGAATCTGGCTTGTTATTAATTGTTTGCACTCAAAGCAACTTGTGATATAAACAAACGCATAAACTTAGGAACAATTCCTGGTATCTCTAAGAGTGTAATATTCTGCCAAAATTAGTGTTTTTTTTCTCACCAAAACCTGTGAAGATGAGAATTGCTTTGAAACCAAAGAGTCTCCTGATGATGACCTACCAAGGAGCAGGTGCGAAGATTGATCCAGTGACTGGGGAAGGAGGATGCAGGCACAGGCCGGGTCAGTACCCTTGTTCTGACCTTGCTCATCTTGCGAGCCCTGGACACCGCCAACTGTTTTCACCTGCTTATCAGATTTGCTCTCATGGGAGCCTCTGCCCCAATACTAAACTTTGAGAATTATTTCCTCCATTATCCTTCATACACAATGATAAAGTTTTGTTAAGTCACCCAACAGCTACATATTCTCAACAGATATACATTCTGGGATCTGGGACAGAGTTGTGAAGCACACTAAGTGTCCAACAGTTCTCTTCTGATTCAGAGAAGGAAGCAACCTGCTCAGGGAAGGGTGCCCACAAAGCATTGAATGCATGGAGGGACCTCCAAAGACCCCCACAGGAGACCAATTTTGGTGGCTGAAATCACACCAAGGTAGACTCTACATGACACCTCACTTCACTTTTCATGTAAGGTTTTGAGAAACAGTGAACCACTCTTTAAAAAACACTATTTTTACAAAATCTTTTTAGATAACATCTGTACAAAGAGAAGCGCCTTCTACCTTCCTGCTGGACATGGATTAATGCAGTCTGGTAGACACTACAATTTGCCTGACTGATTAACATGAGTCTAATTTTAATGAGTCTAGGGCTTTGCAGTGCAATCTTCATGCTCCTGGAGGAGACAATTTGATGAAGGCAAGATAACTCCCCAAAGCTGGGTCAACTTCACTAGAAAATGAAAATGCTGACTCTGGCTGGGCTACATTTTTAGAAAAAGGACATCGCGGAAAATTCAAAAGCAGGGCCATTCACCAAGCAGTAGCAACCTTTGCACGGTCATGCAGCTGTCCCCTCTTTCCCCTTAGAGTTCAGGGCTCAAAGTACACTGCTGAACACTGAAAGCAGGGGCCTAGGTACTGGGAAATTTAATTAGAATGGGTGAAACAAAACAGACTGCAGTAAATCTGCTCCAAAATGTGACAAGCAATAATAGCTTAGTTGAGAATTCCCATTTCCAAGAATGAATAAACCTGAGCTATGATGAGCTGCTTTTGTTGTTTTTGTTTTTCCTTTTAATGTTTTTTTCATCCTTTGCTAGTAAGGCTTCCATAATTTTTAGCTAACTTTGACCCTGACCTAAAGAAAGACTTCTCTTGGTAGAGTCACCTGACCAGGCCAAGAACTTGCTTAACCATGGAGAAATCCAATATGGGGATCTACAGTGGCAATATTACTTTTTAAACTTAATACTATATTTAAGAAGGCGAATTTTACAATTCAAGAAGTAACTTTTTAAGGTCTCTGCAATTCTGACCAATTCAAAAGCAAGCATATAAGGTAGCACGAAACACACAGGCGGGAAATGACCACGATGTTCCTGCCCTCCAAGAGCTCACAGTCCTGCACAGGGTATATGGAATCCGCTATAGACACCAAGACTAACACAACATAAAGCAACTGCTAGCAGCTACGTGACAGACTGCCCACTAGTAGGTCAGCAGCAGGGACCTGGCTTGCACCTTTTCACAGCAGGGATTTGGGCTGCACCTTGCAAGATGAGCATTACTTTAAAAGAACATATTAGGCAGAATATGAGGCAAAAGAAAGTGGCTGAAAAAAGTACAAAAGTGTGTCAGGGGAACAGGGCAGGCAAAAATGTGACTAAAAACACAAGGAGCCCATGGTGGTGAAGACTGACCTTGGGGAAAGGTGGATGGAGGCCTAACGCTGTCAGCATCAGGGCTGGAACTTTATTCAGAGGTAAGGAAGGGTAGTTAGGTGGGCGAAGCCAAGGACTGCTGTCAAACCAGTCCTCTAGATTGAATCTCGGCGAAACAGCTGGAAAGGGATGGAGGATGATCTGAGAAGGGAGGCACAGCAGGAGTCACGTGCTGGGTTCAGGCAGGAGATGGACAGCCAAGGCTCGAGCAGAGGAAGTGGGAAGCAGCCCCCAGGCAGGGAGAGGACAGGGGTGACACATACAGGGGCAGGTCAGGAGCTGACTGCTTCATGGCTCCTGTCTCAGGCTTGAGGGAAAAACAGTAATATGGGAATAAAGGAGAAGAATGGGGAAATGAAGGAGAATTACAATGAGCACAAACAAATGCTCATAAATTCAGCACTCCCAACAGAAAAACATAGACATCCCTCCCCCGTTTTCCTCAGAGAGACACTTGAGATGTCTGAAGACAGTGGTTAACAGGAAAAGTTGAAAGATCCTGACACTAATTTGGGAGAAAACAGCCAAAAGAAACATTTAGAATTATACAATTTGCTTCAAAATTTTCTGCTATGTCATTCCAGAGCATATAATTCCTGCCCCTCTTCCTAGAGTATACGAATGTGCCGCAAGCTAAGTATCCACACTCCTAAGAAGGACGGGGAGTGAGGAGAGGACAAGAACACTGATGTGGCCACAGCAAGCGTCTGCCGGGAAAGCGGATGCTTCTGCTTACCCTGTGCCTCATTTCTGTCCTTTGACTCAGACTGTGCCTGAGGAGACAAAGGGATGCGGACAGAAGCTGTCCAGGCTGCATGTCCCTCTTTTTTCTGAACCTCACAGCAGGCACACACTATCCTACCTAGGCAGGCCACTTGCTTTCAAGTGGATAAACCAACCGGCCGGGCAGAGGCTTTTTGATGTTTATTTGGCACTTAAATAGAACCACAAACACGAGGGACAACCAGGGTCAACACCATGCTAGAGGCTCCCAAATTAGAGCTAGGGCCAAGACCAGCTCCTCACGCTTACTGTAGCTGCTGACAACCTCTCTTCTCAAGGACGAATCATAAAATGAACATCTATGAATATGCAATTTCAACATACCTCAAACTCCAGATAGTGGTCTTTGAGCTTGTATTCATCGACGTCCTTGGCTTTAACTTTCTTGTCTGGGGGATAGGAGCGGTGCTCAGCCAGCTCGGTGGTAATCTGCTTCAGTTTGCCTTCATGAGATTTCAGCTGTTCCTCCTGTAGGAGATTATTAAACCACTTAGTGGGCAGAAAATAATCAATAGGGAAAATGGACAGTGCTTTTAAAACTTGCGTATGTTGAATGACTCGCATTTATCTAAAGAATCCAATGTGTCCCCGCTCCTCCATCATCCTAACTTTCCAATGCTAGTGTTGGTAGATTCTTTCCTAGGATGGCAGTGAAGGCCGCTTTCCTAAACCAAGCTCTATTCACAATACCAATGGCTTTCTAGCTTTAATAGGTGTAACTGTCCCTGGGTTGGCACCAGGTATCCAAGAGAAACCTGACAGGCATGACACCAGCAGAACAGTTAATTGCTAGCCTGAGTGCCACACAACTTGACCTCTCCGATTCATGAGGCAACAGCAGTGTTGCTGGTTTCCCTCCATCACAATGAATGTGTGTCTGTCTGCAGAGCCTTTTCCTTTCTTGAGATGAAATACTTCTCTGGAAACCTATCAGATTGTTTTTCTAGAAAATACATTACTTTTTTCCCTCTAAAGCAGCATGGGTTATCACATCCTTCTTTTCCCTAAGTCAAAGTATTCATTCAATTACAATGTAACCATGGACTAATTATTGCCAGAAAGTCAATAACAGGCTCTATGCACCAGTGGACCATGGCTGATCTATGTCAAAAGATTTCAACTCTAAGGGAACCATTTATATAGTGTAGCAGTAAGTTCCTTAAGATGATATGCTACCAAACCCTCCCAGGGCAGTTTAAAACATTCTTGAAACAAAGACAATGGAGCTCACTTGCATTTGTAAATGCTGACTATCTCGGATTCACATGCAAATTATCCCAATTCTTGAGCATAAATTTCATATATACAATAAGAAATAAAAGCAGAAAGGAGGAGACAAAGGAACTTTTAACCTACTAAAATAGGTGACAAATACATCTTATATAACATCAACATAATCTTAGAATATAAAAATGTTATTGTAGAGGAAAATAATTTTAAAATGCCATAAGAAAATGAATTCCGACACTAAATTACCACCACTGTAAGTTTAAAAAATATACCCAGAAATTTTAAGTCACTTACGATATCTTAAAGACTTCTATATTAGTGCACAATTTAAAAGCCAACCAAGGAAAAAAAAATTCCAAGTATAAAACCATCAAAATAGAGAAAAATACTAAAAAAATAAAAAGTACAGCGCATGGGAGTAAAAATAAGCAAGAAAGATGGTGGAATATGAATGAAAGATGACAACATTCGTTTTCAAATAAGAATTGTCACACAACGCAACATTCATAGAAGTATCATGAAAGTACAGGTAGGGAAGGGGTAAGAAACACACATTGAGATGTCAGAAAGGAATCCACACCGCCAAACCCCTGGCTTGTGCACTGGTAATGCTAAAACTCAATGAAAACGCTTCAGGGAGCTTTTATACCTAATTTCTCACTCATCTGTTATTTTCCCTCGGCCAATTATAAACAATGCTATGGATGAAATGTCTCTCATCCACAACTCATATGAAGCAGCTCTAATCCCTCATCTGGTTGTACCTGAAGCTGAGGTCTCTAAGACAGCAGTTAAGGTTACAGAGGTCCTAGGTGAGGCTTACTGATTTAACAGGATTAAATCTCTAATTCAACAAAGAAAGGTCAGGTGAATCCAAGGCAAGAGGGCAGCTGTCTACATCCCAAGGAAAGCTATCACCAGACATGGACCCTGCTGCACCCCGATATGGGCCTTCCAGTCTCCAGAACCATGGAAGGAAAAAACCCTGCTGTTTATATCATTCTTTTATACTATTTTGTTTTGACAGCTGCAGCTGGCCATGACATACCAGGTCAATAGTTTTTGTTTCTTTCAAAATTGTTTGCTTTGTGTATTTACTGCAACATGAAATTTACTTAATTGAATTTTGACACACAGACCTTTGGTGATTAGAAAACTTAGAAAAACATGATGTACTTCTTTAAAAATAAAATGTTTGAATACTCAAAAAGTTATACGAATGATACCTAACAACACTCACATTTGTTTATACTCAGTTTAAGACAAGAAATATTGCTGGGCATGGTGTCTCATGCCTATAATCCCAGCACTCCGGAGACTGAGGCAGGAGGATTATTGTGAGTTCGAGACCAGCCTGTGTTACAAAGTAAGCTCAAGACCAGCCTGAACTAATATGAGACCTTGTCTCAAAAGCAAAAAAAAAAAAAAGCAAATAAACTGAAAACTCCCTGTACATTCCTATTTAATTCATCTTTTATTCTGTGCTATTTCGCTATTTCTGTATTAAGGTATGTAACCATAAAAAGAATATGCTCTGCAAATTTTAAACTTTATATAAACATTATTTATATGCTTGAATTTTTAAACTCAGAATGCTTTTAAGATTTATTCACATATAATCTCTACTTTCTTTTAACTATCGTATAGTATCTTACCAAAGGACACAATATTTACATTGATTCCAGTTTTTTGGTTGGGCTTTTATTTTTGCTGTTATAAATGAGGTTGAAATGAACATCCTCATACAATATTTCTTAGTGAATCTAAGCAAGAATTTTTCTATAGTAAATCATCAAGTGATGGAATTTTGTTTTAAAATATGTGCATTGTTAAGTTGACATTCAACTGTGTACTGAAGTGCCTGGATCTTACATTTTCATAGCAAATTTCAAGATTCCCACTGTTGTATATACTTGTCAAAATTTGATTTCAGTACATTTGTAAATTTTTGCTAATTTCATGGCCATGAAATGACAAGCCACTATGATCTGAACTTACGTTTACCTGAATATGCATCAAGGATAAGCACTTTTGTGCACATTCACTGAATTTTCTTTTCTGTGAGCTGGTTACTGGAATAATGGATCAAGTTTTTAATTGTGTTGTTTTGTCTTTTCATAGATTTGTGTTAGTATAGTTACGTTTTAAGAAAACAAGTTAGTTTTTTTTTTTTTTTGTAATTAAAATTATTAGGATTCAAATGTATATATTTTCCAAAAAAGATTAAATCCTCTGCGTTTTTGGACTTTGGGGAGTCTTGGTATATATTATTTTAGGTGCTTGCTTATTTTAAAAAAACTTTAGACCTAAGCTCCTGATCCTGAATATTCACATGCTTCTTTGCTTATCAAACAATTCCCAATTTTTTTTTAAATTACTGAGGCTACATATAGAGAGGTTGAAGGGAAGTTAGGGGAATGGAGAAAAAAATATCAACTTATATCATGTAAAGATACAAATTCTCTACCATGAATGTGATCAAATATATATCTAAAATGCATCAAAAAATCTGATTAAAACACATACAGAATATTACATTTGTCATTTTCCTTCCTATACCAGGATTTATCAAAACATATAGAATGCTATTCAGCTATGTTTCATAAACCATTTGTACAGAAGTGATGTTTCTATGAAGCAGAGTCTGTCACAGTGCAGTGTGTTTCAGTGTCACCCACACTGCAGTCCCCCTGGGTGTGCAAGACAGATATATGTTTCTTGGTACCCACGTGGATCGAAATTGCCTGGCAGGGCTGGGAAAGAGATTTTATCGAAGTTCCCAGATATTTCTTATGCACACTTGTTTGAGGATGACTGCTTTGGTGGGTATAAAAGGGTCCTAAATAGATTCAAGGGAGAGGGGGATGGCTGGCATGAACATCAGAAAGAGGAAAAACCTTGAAGTTTCAACTTTGTCTCTCTACCCCCAACAGGAGAAGAAAAATGTGTTCCAGCTACATTGCCGTGAAAAACAACTTGAGAAGGAGACTCCTACACAGTGAGTTGTTCAGGAAGAACTGTGCTGCACTGACAATAATCAATTTTAATAATTTAGGCTAATATGTTTTGGATAGAAGACAAGAATAAATTAAAGAAAAGCTCAGAAATGACAGGGTGATGAATAATGTGTCTTAAAAGTACCAAACAATCTTTTAATTGAACATTTAATTTTTTTTGTCCCAGCACTGTTTATCTTTTTCTCCAGCAGGGTACTCACATTGCTATAAATTTTATAAATTGAAATACCCAGAGGTTCTGGGATTTAAGGGAGTCTCGTGACCTGGCTCTGGTGTGCTGAAAGGCAAGACAAGCAGTCTCATTTTCACAATGCTGAACTAATACAGGGGTCCTCAACAGGCGGGGCGGGATGTGGACCCCAGAAGACATTTGGCAATGTCTAGAGACATCTTGGGTGTGACAACCGCATGTGTGGGGAGGGAGGGGTAGGTGGTATCTAACTAGAAGCTAGGGATATTGCTCAGCATCCTACAGGTCACAGGTGAGCCTTCCACAACAAAGAATGATGCAGGCCAAATGTCAATATTGCCTAACGTGAGGGTGATCAGGCTAAAGAGAACTAGTCTATGTGGTTGGAGAAATCAGAGATGTCTCCAGACACTTATTTTGGGATCTGCGGGACCACGCTGTGAGCAGCATGGACAGCTTCCAAGAGGCTCTGCTCTCAGTGAGGTTACCTATCCCTAACAGGCTCGCCAGGCTGTGAGTCAAAACTTTATTCCTTTTAAAATCCACTCTCCATCACACACTTGGTTTTACACATTTCTTTTCAAACTGTCCTATTATTTTTAGTAGCAAAATATCTTTTAAAAGTTTTACTCAGTTCTTCCTGAGAAGGCAGCTGCCCACCATGTTGCCCAGAGTAGACCCCTAAAGTTGTTTTTATTCCTACCACCAAATATGGTCACCCTCAATAAAATGAACCAAATGAATGAATGAATGAATGAATGAATGAGTAAACGAAATGCTTGCTGGGATATTACCTTAGCATTCACCAGATACTGGAAAATTAAGAGCTTGTTAAAACAAAAACAAAACAAAACAAAACAAACAGGCAAATATGAATGAAGTGCAAAGCCCAGCATATTAGATTTTATATAATGTGGTCTCCTACACATCAAAGTCTCTCATCTGCCCTCAAAACATGGAGTACCGCTTAAATGAAACTATTAATAAGATTACAAAGTACTGCTTTCCCAGTTGAAAGCACTGTCAGGATGGCACACCTGAGATAGCTTTGTTGTAGTAGCAGGCAGAAGTGGGCGGCTAAACTTCTTCTGAGAGCCAATGGCTGCTGGAAATGGAGGGGCAGAAAATACGGCTGCGACACAGTTGATTTTGTTTATCCACCCCTGCATTTCCTCTGGACTCCTATGAGAAACACAGACATTTATGTTAGCATATTTCCACATCTACACAAATCATACTTTGCCCACTAAATCTCTGGCAACACTTGACTGGGAATCAACATTCTCCATAATGATCACGAGGCAGTGACAGGGTATAAAACCTATGATCATCAGAGTGTAATACTGACTATCCCTCTAGAATACAGAAGAAAAAAAGGGGAATATATTCATTAGACTTCTATTTTTTGTTTGATAGTAGGTTAGGTTAAAAACTAAGCTAAACATTAACTCATCCTCCTAATCAGATACTTTTATTTTGGAGCATAACTGAGGCATAGATTGATAATGAGTGTGCAAAAGGCTATATCCATTTTGGAAAAACAGTTTGATAGTTTCTTCAAAAGTTAACTACAAATTTATTGTGTAACTCAGCAATTCTATTCCTTTGTAGGTACCTCAGGAAAATAATAGCATATAACCACATAAGTATTTGCATGTCAATATTCATGGCATCATTATTTCTAAGGATCAAAAAGTGGAAACAAAATCCAAATGCCCAACAACTAGCAAATAGATAAACAAATTGTAGTAAATCCCTATGATAAGATAGTATTCAATAAAATGATCAAGTACTCAATATGGACGAACCCCCAAAATTTTATGCTAGGTGACAAGCTAGATGCAATAAATTATATAAGATTCCATTTACATGAAATGTCTAGGAGAAGCAATAAAGAGACGAAAATAGTACATTAGTGCAAGCATGCGACTGGAGATGAGAATGGGGAGTGAATGTAAAATAGGCACAGGGATCTCTCTGGAATGATGGCAGTGTTACAATACTAGGCTGTGGTGATGGCTACAGTATTTGTAAGCTCAATTAAAAAATCACAGAAGCATATATTTAAAACAAGTGAAAATTTCCGGTATGTAAAGTATAGCCTAAAAGACTGCCAAAATTCACCTCAGAGGAGGTGGAAATCATCCAAAGTCATGATCATATTTTTAATTTTATGTGTCATTGTATCCAAAAGGTTAACCCTCAACAGATGTTTATAAATTCAAACATTGAGTGGCAGACATGGGCATGAACAGCAAAGCTTATCGTGTACGCAATCATAAAGATGAAAAAGTGCTAATCAAATCTAAAACCATTTCCTTTACCAATTACACTGGAAGAAACCTCACTAACCTGAGATCATACTATATATACGGACTCCTCAGTGTACCTTGTATGTCTGTCTAGTGTGATTACTTCAATGTTGCTCTTTTAACTGACTTCTGTGCCAGTTCAATCTGAAGTAACTAGATTTATAATAGCTGTAATCATGCATCTAGTTGTGAGTCCCCATGTGGTGGTAAATATCCTATTCCCACACTACGAATCCTTTTTTGTTTCCCTATATCACCTGACGCCAGCAATTTTATACTCTTCAAAGTTCAAAACCCAAAAGAGGATCAGATCTTGTTTCTATTTTTTTGATGTCATGTTGCTTAATCAACAACCACATACATGTTTGTATTTATTACTTCAATGTCAAATTTTAATCCTAGTGTCAACTGGGGTCAGTCAATTGTACAATTGATTCTGAAGTCAAGCTGAAGCCACAAATGATTAACATTGTCTGCTAGATTGACACTATTGTCACCTCTACTGAAATCCCTTTATTTGAAGCTCCCTTTTAAAAATCCAAAATTTCTCACTTCGCAAATCCAGAATTCTTCAAGTGGAATGCTTTACTTCTAAGCTGAAGTCTGTCACTGGACCTCCTGTGAAACTGGTAATGCAAGCCTTCCCATGTGCATAGTATGATTTTATGTTTTCCAAGTATGGTCACAGACTAACAGCACTCAGAAAGCAAACAAAATGAAAATGTATACTTATTGAACAATGTCCACATAACAAGAGTTTTGTGAAGTGCTTTATATACCTAGTCATTTATTCCTCATCAGAAATATATGAGATAAATATCACTACCTACAGAAGCAACAAGTCAAGGTTTAAAGTGATTAAAAATTACACGTTGTGAGAAAGAGCGAGGAGACAGAGATTCAAATCCACATCTAATCTGTATTACTCATTTTGTGAGAGAACATGTCTACTCCAACTCTCATTTTATTGAGAGGAGTACTAAATTCTAAGGATGATATGCAGCTAATTAAAGTCACAGGGATACTAACAGCACATGGAGGCAAGGTCCCTATTATTTATGTGAGTCATCTCAGGTAGTTACTTCTTTAATGGAACCAGGTCACAACCCTGACTCCACTTCAAAAATTTTCCCTACAGAGCCAGAGTCCATTCTTTTGTACAAAATGGTGGCAAGGAAACTAAAAACTGAACATAAATGAGGACTAAAGCAAAAAGACATACTGGGTTTGAAAAAGCAAGACCCTCCAGTCGGCGGTTTTGAGTTTAAACACATTCGGTTTCTTCTCATAGTCCGTGGCCTTGGACGCCAGGGCGTGGTGCACACTCACGGCATTTTTCAAGTCCTCCTCAGACAAGGCCTTCTCTGGCTTATATTCATCCTACAGAGGGAAACAGAAAACAGACAAGAGGGTCAGATTGCAATTTTCCTCTTTAAAGCCTGTAACTAGAGGAAAGCATTTTAGAGAAATCCATGCAACTTCATGAAAAAAGTGAACTGAATGGGGAGTAGAACTGCAGATTTGTAAATGCCACAGAATAGCACATTATTTGAAACAACTGCTGAGAATGAAACAATCTAGAACACCGAGGGGGCATTTTACAAAAAGCTAATATATAATAATTAAGGCAGAAGGAGGACTGTCACACACATTTTACAGTGAGCTGAAGTGAAGTTGGGTCCAAAAGTGTGGTCTGATTTCTAGGTTAAATGGGACAAATGCAAAAGCTTCCAGATAGCAACAGAATCATCCTGCTGGTGGAAACAGTGCCCTTGTGTTCTTTATTCTGACATCATAACATTTTCCTGCTGCTTTGGGGGAGTAAATATTATCAAAAGAAAAATGAACAGTAAAATGAATTCTCTAGTTCTTTTGCTCAAAGAGAAGAAAACAAATTTAATGAAGAAGAGAAAGCTTAGGTCCATTATAAATAGGAAAAAAATAGGCAAAAATTACATAAGAAAGGTGTCATATATATGCCATTTTGGTTCTGGTCATCAACTGCACAATGCATCATGTTTAGAAAGATTCCTTTGTATGGCACCCCTTCAAGCAACAACAGTAACAAAAATCTCAATTGGAAAATAATTTGAATGTTTACTGATTCCAGTAGCTCCTGGGCATATTAGGATAAAAAGGCCCAACACCAGTGTAAATATACTACCTGTATACTGCATACAAACTTGTAAGAGACGTTTTCGAGATTTTAATGCCTCTCTTCCTGTATTTTATCAAAACAAGATATGAAGGTAAGTAAACTGGCATTTATTCTGTAAACACACACACACACACACACACACACACACACACACACATATTTGCAAACCCCACGCCCACCCCCTCATTACAAACACTACCTCCTAATCAGTAACTAAAGTCTAAAGGAAGACTATCTGTTCTCTTATCACAGTCTAGTCTTAAAAAGTAATTATGGCCCCCCATGTCTTCCCTCCTTTTTATCAACATCATCCAAAAATGAAGCAATTTAAAAGTATCATTATCCTTAAGTCAAACTGAGTAAAAAATAAAAGGGCCTTTGATCTTTAATGATGACTCTCAATGATCTTTACAAATAAAATTTTGCCTCTAAAATATGAAGTACATGCTAGTAGCAATATAATGATTGTCCAAATGTACAATATTCGATAACAAAGTTTCCATATTAGGACTGTAACAAGTGTTACTAAGCTTCAGAGTTTATCAGATGTGTTGTTGACAATGATAGCCTGCTAGAGAGACAGGATGAACATAGGAAAATATTAAAATAAATATAATAAGCTTTATATGTATTTGTTTTTGCATGGTTGCAATTTATAGAAATATTTTGAGGTCTTTTTCTTTTTCAAATAGATTTTTTTTCCCTTCTCAATGATTCAGTATTCCAAATTCATGAATCTTCTTCCAGGGAATTTTTTATTAGACTGGAACTATCAAGTAGATTTACCGTGACTACAAAATTTTCTCTCTTGCCGCAGGATTTACTATTTTAGAAGCCTGCATGTCTGGCCCTTCCTCCAAAGTAACAACTTCTTTCTAAATAGGAATCTGAGAAACATAAATAATGGAGGGAAGATAAATGGCTGGGGCCAAAATTGCCCCTAGAGTATTTATATGTAGTCTCTATTTTACATATACTGATCTGCTAGTGTATTTAGCATTGGAGCTAGAAATTAGACTAGGCATGTATATGCACCTTTTTTCCTATTGTGGGTCTACAGTGTGAGTTTTTTTCTTAGTCTTTCCTACTTTCCTTTGTGTTTTTTGATTTATATTTATTTGAATTTCTTGATATGATTACTTTGTTGATTTTCCTATTTCTTCTTTAATTAAGGAAAAGTTGAAAACTATAATATTTTCTGAGTATCATTACACCATATATTATAGTTTGGGAATAAAAACTAGTTTTTCATTGTTTTCTACATAGCACTAGTTTTAATTTTTTATCTCTTCTTTGATCTTAGTAGTACTAAAGAAAGTGCATTATACATTAAGTGCTATGTTGTTTGGCGCACTTAGGTTAATAATCATTATCATCTTTACAGCTTTGTGTTGCTCATTATTTTAAAATGTTCTTCCTTTATTGTTTAGTGTTTTATCATATAATATGGAAACTTAAAAAAATCCCTTCTACATACAAAATGCTATTTCTTTACTCCTTACACATATGACAGAGTTTCATAATAGTTTTATCTATCTCTCTGTCCTTGTTAAGCCTAACTTTTGCTGAAGTAGTTTTGTATGCTTTATGCTGCAATCTTACCAAATTTATATTGGATTATTTATTCTCTGTTTTAAGAAACCTTAGTTTGTATTTACATTATACATTCCCTTGTTTCTTTTAGATTTAATTGTTCCTTCTTTTAGATTTAATTTGCTTTCACTGCTCATTTACTTTCTTCTCACCATCTTGACATCTTTAATTTGAGCTTTTCATTATTCTGTCTTCTCCCAAGTATTTTTTCAGGTATTCTTTAGTTCTTCTCAACTGTCTCACAATTTGAACCTTTCTTCTCAAATTGCTTCCAGTGTGTAAGTCTAGAAGTCTAGCCTCCAATTTAATAGAAATCCAATGGCAGTCTAATGCTTTTTTTTCTGTATGTTTTTCTATTGGAAATCTCTCAAGAGTTTCCCTTTATTCTTAGAATTTGTGAAGTTTTGTGACAGGCCCTAATTCAGATTTAAAATCTGCAGATTTGCTTATACTGAATGATTCTTTTCCAGATCTATTAAAATCTTTCTGTTCCACTCTGCCACATGTACACAACATGCCTAGTTTGCCACAAACTAGGGTCAAGGATATGGATGCCTGGAGTTAGCATATCTATGTTTAAATACCCAGTTTTGATACTTAATGTCCCTTGTGACCTTAGATAGGTAAAATTCATTAAGATTCAGTTTCTTAATGGAAATATCTTCCCTAATTAGAGGATTAAACTACGTGACATACTATTTTTGAAACTCCATAATGTTCGTTGCAGGGCTGAGGTTATAGCTCAGTACTACAGAGATTGCCTGTCATGCATAAGGGCCTGAATTTGTTCCTTGGCACTGAAAAAAAGGGGGAAAAATATGTCCCTAGCATACAATAGGCACTCAATAAATGCTAGCTGTAAAATTACTAATAATAATGTCTTTTATGATATATTGTTTAACCTTATATCTACAAGGTTAAGCTTTTAAACATCAAACCTAATGTTTATCTATCCTATAAGTGTGCATATTTTGTGACCTCATTCACCTTCTCTACTTCAAAACAGTGGGACCTTGTGTTCTTAGTTCAGTCTTCTACAACCTTTTCCAGAGTCTGCTTTCATTGCTTATTTTCCTTCTTTCATAACTTAAATCATTCTGTATCTACTGGCTTCTTCCACATCCTAAAAGTATTCATGAGGTCTATTATCATTGCAAGGCAATAGTCTTTCCTGAATATTGCTTTCTTTCCTAGCTACTATCTCATGCTTTTTTCTTCATTTCTGAGTTTTAATTCACATTAATTGTTTTTATATATTGTTTCAGTTTGCTTTTAAACCCAGGTCAACTAAAGCCCATTTTCATACTTTATTGAAAATACCTTGACAAAGATCAGCAATAACCTCTTAATTGTAAAACTCAAAAAATTTTGGTTTTTGGTTCTTATCTAATGGCAACCAAAACAATCTAAGTTGCTGTTCAAATTCTTTCTGGGTTTTTTACTATAATGTTTTCCTAGTTTCTCTCTTATCTCTCTTGCCATTATTTAGCTCTCTTCTTCATTCTGCAATTGGCCTTCTTCCTTTCTCATTCTGTGAGTACTCCTTGGTATGGTCACAAGTACACTTATGGTTTCAGCTTCCACCTATACCACAGTGTTTACCAAATTGCCATGGATGAAAAACAAACACAATACCAACTGGTAGCTATTAATTCTAAGGGACTTAGACCTCATCACTTGGACGCATTATAGTTATACTTGGAGCATAGTCTGTCTGTTAATATTTTCATTTAAAACCAAGCTTAAAAGATGACATTCTTAGACTACTCTAAAACTGCACAGAATTTTAAAATGTAACACAGATCTCAGTAAAATCCAACAGTAATTGCCACCTTTTGGTGTGATTTTAAGAGGGCTTGCCTTTTAAACCCGTGGAGGAATTTAAATTTCAAAGTCATAGGCTAGTGGTATTAAGAGAGTGGAAATGCATTCAATTATTGAATTTAGACATAGTGCAGGAGAGACCTCTACTCATCAGTCATGGTGAGGGAAAGACCCTGGGAAGAGATCAGATTAGGCCATTAGGGTGCAGCCCCATTGAGTGACAACGAGAGAGAGAGAGAGAGAGAGAGAGAGTTCACGTAGCGATACAAACATGTTTCCCATGTTCCCACTGGATAAGACGTGGCCCACACCAGGTTTTGCCAGTGTTTACACTATCTTACGTGGATCTTGTGCCTTTAGAACTATGAGTCCAAATAAACTTTTTCCTTTGTAAATTTGCCTGCATCAGGTATCTCAATATAAAATGAAAAGCTGATGAACAATCCTTTAGCATAGCATCACTGTTTTTTAAAGAGGTCTGTATTTCAAATCAGCTCCTTTAGTTTATATCAGAAAAAAATATATTCCACTGGGTAAAAATGGAAGATAGCATCTATATAGTTAGGTTTAAACTGAAGTCTAAGAATTTTAAAGCTAATAAGTTATATTTTTCTTGTTAAAAATTAAAATAACTTTGTCATTTTTATAAAAGGCAAATATAAAAATTAAAGTATTCTCAGAATCCTAAATTCCTACTAGACAATGAAGCTCTAAGTCCAGGGAAAAAGGAGCCAAATCTATGGAAGAGTACAAACCTTAGAGTTGACAATTGGATAAAAAGAAATGACTATTTCTTACCCAATTC